TCACTTCTAACTCCTCTTCGGACTTAACGTCCAAAACATGCATTTTCTCCGTTTCATCGATCGTCACAATTGTCCGCGAATTCAACCAAATGATCGATTGTATGACATATCCAACACTTATTTGCATCAATGGTGTGAACAGTATTTGCGATGAGTTCTTAAAGCTTGCCTTAAAAAGTATAAACAGTTAATAAATTGCAAAATAAATTGTTTGTGATTTACTTGAAAGAAGTAAATAGTATTTTGTCGGGCAAATGAGAGCACAGGGTCTACAACTCGGGTGTTCTCTGCGATTTGAACCATAACAAACTGCCAACAAATCAGTGGTAAAGTATCTGATTTTCCCTTTAAAAGACATATTATAGCATTGGATTAATGTCCCATTATTTGAAGTATAGTTAATTGCAAACCTTAAGTATTTGTGTGAAGTGAACATTGATTGCGGGCCGTAATGACAGAGCAATAACTTTGGTCACCGTTGCCATCGATAGTAAGCAAATACTATTAAAATTCAACATTTCTGCTCCCTTTGAATTCTCGGGCAGTATTAACGGCTCTATCACTAAGACTTCTCCGCGACTAAACAAAGTTTGACAAATATTTCAACATTTATTTCAATTAATTTAAAGCCAAACCTTCCGGAAAATATACACTGAGCGTCAATATCTCGGCGCCTAAAGTCAAGCATATAAACAGATCCACTGCTGTCACTGAGAGCACCGAAATTATTATCGGACATAAACTGTCATTTATTTGTAACAAAATTAACATTTTGTAAGTTTTGGTCAAATGAGTTATTGTATGCAACCTTCAGATGAAGAACAGTTGTTTGCGGTGAATGTAATTCTGTGAATGTCTTAATCAGTTCCCCGGACTGTATGTTCCATAGAGTGACCGCTCCTCTGCTATAACCGCAAAGTAGTCTCGAGTTATCGCGTTTGATAGACATCGCAGACACTGATCCCAAATCACTGTCTGTACGGAGACATGATTTCATCACTTGTCGTAAATCTTAAAACACATCAAA